TTAAACTGCTTAGAAATATTTTTACACATCCTGAAAAGAGTTCCTCATAATGAGTGTGGATGTTGCGAAGGTGCCACTTCGGCAACCACTGCCCGCGATGCCACGTCATGGAGAAAACTTGCAGAGGCAAATTTGGTACTGCCTGAGTCAGCACATGGCAGAATTCGCGCTTCGCAAGTGTAAAAATTGTCAGAATGTTATTATTTTCTAGCCTGTAGTGGGGTGCTCTATAGCGAGTACAACCCAGTTAGGGTTTGCTATATGTACCCCAACTGCTGCTAGTGAAACCCCTCTCCTTTCAATCATTCTTGCCTAGTCTTGTTGACATGCTATCAGAGCAGGTCGACCCCCTTGGGTCGATCCTGTGGGTGGGCCCGCCACCTAACTGCTTCCGCTGCTATTCTGCTTCTCGCACGCCTCGGGCGCGCGCCGTCTTCTTCCTGCCGTGCGCTCAGGGCGTACGGCGGTTTTCTGCCCGCCGTGCGCCCCGAGGCGCGCGGCGGTTTCCTGCCCGTCGTGGCGCCCCCGGGGACCTGCGCGCTGCCCCCCGTCGTCCTCCTCCCGTCGCCTCGTCGCGGCGCCCTGGGGGCCCGCGCGTCCCCCCCCTCCCGTCGCCTCGTCGCGGCACCTTGGGGGCCCGCGCGCCGCCCCCTCCCGTCGCCTCGTCGCGGCGCCTAGGGGGCCCGCGCGCGGCCCCTCCCGTCGCCCGTCGAGCCGCCCTCGGGGGCCCGTGCGCGGCCCCCCTCCCGTCACCCGCCGTGGCGCCCTCGGGGGGCCCGCGCCCTGCTTCTTCGTGGCGCCCAAGAGCCACCCCGCTGCCTCCCTTTCCCTCCGTGCCCCGCCCCTGCTGTTTCCCGCGCTCCTGCCTGCGTTAGGGTTTGGGGGTGGCGGGCATGGGGGTGACCGGTGTGGGTAACCTGCGGCTCCTCCTCCTCCTCCGTCTCCCACTGCTGCAGCTGCCGCTGAGGGGGGTGGGTGTGTGGGAGCCGAGGGTTTAGGGTTTAAGGGGGGTGCCGTGGAAGTGGAGCTAGGGTGTCAGCAGGGGGTGTGTGAGAGGGGCGTGGGACGGTCGGGGGAGGTTGCGTGGAGGTAGCCGTCGTGACGCCAGCAGCGCCAGTAGTCCGGATGCCCTCGCGCGTTTCGGTAGCCCAGCGAGCCTGCTTCGCCAGTCGCCTGTGGGTCCGTTGCTCCTGTGTGTGCTCGTCGTAGCCGCGGAGCCAGATACTCCCGTAGTCCGGTGCCCTCGTGCGCTCGGTAGCCACTGTGCGCGCCGCTCCTGTTGCCCGTGTGTCTGCAGCTTCAGTCGGCGCCTTTCATCTTCTCGCCCTCACAGTTTCTCCTCCTCCTCACTTGCCCTCTATGATCACCTCTAGCTTTGCTTATAATTGTGAACTATTGCTATGCCTGCTCATTGTACTGATTACACCCCACTTTGGCTATGGGGGTGTGTCAGAATGTTATTATTGTCTAGCCTGTAGTGGGGTGCTCTATAGCGAGTACAACCCAGTTAGGGTTTGCTATATGTACCCCAACTGCTGCTAGTGAAACCCCTCTCCTTTCAATCATTCTTGCCTAGTCTTGTTGACATGCTATCAGAGCAGGTCGACCCCCTTGGGTCGATCCTGTGGGTGGGCCCGCCACCTAACTGCTTCCGCTGCTATTCTGCTTCTCGCACGCCTCGGGCGCGCGCCGTCTTCTTCCTGCCGTGCGCTCAGGGCGTACGGCGGTTTTCTGCCCGCCGTGCGCCCCGAGGCGCGCGGCGGTTTCCTGCCCGTCGTGGCGCCCCCGGGGACCTGCGCGCTGCCCCCCGTCGTCCTCCTCCCGTCGCCTCGTCGCGGCGCCCTGGGGGCCCGCGCGTCCCCCCCCTCCCGTCGCCTCGTCGCGGCACCTTGGGGGCCCGCGCGCCGCCCCCTCCCGTCGCCTCGTCGCGGCGCCTAGGGGGCCCGCGCGCGGCCCCTCCCGTCGCCCGTCGAGCCGCCCTCGGGGGCCCGTGCGCGGCCCCCCTCCCGTCACCCGCCGTGGCGCCCTCGGGGGGCCCGCGCCCTGCTTCTTCGTGGCGCCCAAGAGCCACCCCGCTGCCTCCCTTTCCCTCCGTGCCCCGCCCCTGCTGTTTCCCGCGCTCCTGCCTGCGTTAGGGTTTGGGGGTGGCGGGCATGGGGGTGACCGGTGTGGGTAACCTGCGGCTCCTCCTCCTCCTCCGTCTCCCACTGCTGCAGCTGCCGCTGAGGGGGGTGGGTGTGTGGGAGCCGAGGGTTTAGGGTTTAAGGGGGGTGCCGTGGAAGTGGAGCTAGGGTGTCAGCAGGGGGTGTGTGAGAGGGGCGTGGGACGGTCGGGGGAGGTTGCGTGGAGGTAGCCGTCGTGACGCCAGCAGCGCCAGTAGTCCGGATGCCCTCGCGCGTTTCGGTAGCCCAGCGAGCCTGCTTCGCCAGTCGCCTGTGGGTCCGTTGCTCCTGTGTGTGCTCGTCGTAGCCGCGGAGCCAGATACTCCCGTAGTCCGGTGCCCTCGTGCGCTCGGTAGCCACTGTGTCCGGTGCCCTCTTGCCCTCTATGATCACCTCTAGCTTTGCTTATAATTGTGAACTATTGCTATGCCTGCTCATTGTACTGATTACACCCCACTTTGGCTATGGAGGTGTGTCAGAATGTTATTATTGTCTAGCCTGTAGTGGGGTGCTCTATAGCGAGTACAACCCAGTTAGGGTTTGCTATATGTACCCCAACTGCTGCTAGTGAAACCCCTCTCCTTTCAATCATTCTTGCCTAGTCTTGTTGACAAAAATGTACGCGGTATTTCAAATTTCGCTATAATATATCGAAGTTTCGATTATAAGATAGATATGTCTTATCTCGTACACACAAATAGGTGTCGTATAAAAAGGCTAGCTTGTTTATAAGAGACACCCTCATAATAGACAACCCCTGTCTACTATTCAACACAGTCTTATATCCGGGTAATCCAAATTCATAGCAAAAAATGGATCATGATTCATGAAAGTGGTGTTGGCAGACACGCTTCGATTTAACACCTCGGGATCTTATATCGAAGCTGAAACCAGGGCCCTTGCGGAAGTGTGGAGGGACAGCCGCCCACCACTGCTCCAGAATGAACTGGCCTTTACCGAGCACTTCTTTGCTACAGCATGCACACAGGCAGTACGACTGACATGGTTCTGCCTAATTCATATCCCCTATGGATAGCACGTGAAGTGATATACCGGAAAAGTTACTTGTTGGCAACACTGTACAGACGCTAACCGTGTTGGGTCAGTAACAGGCAGGGACGTCGATATCAGACGAGATTCGTCTGATGGTCTAAAAACCAGACTCGTTTTTTAGCCTTCATCTGAATTTTCAGACGGTGAATAATTTTTCATCTGAATCACTGGACATGCCAAATTTATTCGTCTGATTTTTCAGATGAGCTTGTACATTTCGTCTGAATTCACAGACAACGCGGATTATTTCGTCTGAGACCACGATACGCCCCACTAGGCCACGTGTAAATCTGCCGAGGAGCGCATTCACTGACGCGCCGAAGTGATCTCTGACGAGTCAAAATGCTAACTCTGACGCGTCAAAATGATAACTCTGACGCGTCAAAGGATTCACTCTGACGCGTCAAAGGATTCACTCTGACGCGTCAAATGGTTCTCTGACACATCAACATATTCTCTGACACACAGGCACATTTGCTGCCGAGGGGGAGATTCTCTCAGCTCTGCCCTCCACCAGCAGGCCAGCATTTCCGAATTTCAAGCACATGTTCCACTACAAAGACATGCGATTTCGGGAATGAAGTTTTACATGTTTGTTGCTCCTCAGACATATGTTTCGTTTTCATCTGATTTTACAGTCTTGGTAAAAATTTTCGTATGAATTTCCAGACCAGCCATAAATTTTCGTCTGACGCTCAGACGAAGCAAAAAAACCCCGTCTGATTGTCAGACGAGGTTTTTTACTAGCAACGTCCCTGGTAACAGGGCTCTTGCTAGGATTTGAGCACGTCTGACGTTTTGACAGATTTTTTTTTCAAGTCTGAAAAAACAGACGGAAATTCCGTGCGGGTCGGGGCACTGCAGATAGGATGCAACGTGGAGGGAGGGCCAGCGCGCGCTGCTCTACTAGCGACAAGTGAGAGCCGAAGGAGAGCGCTCTCGATTATTGGATCTGCTTCGACCCCCCGTCTTTCCCAAAAGAGTGTTGACAAAAAGCTTGCTTCTCTGGCCTTTTGGGGAATGAGTGAGCTCGCTTCAGTTAGACAACAGCACACTTGCGGAGTTGATAAAAGAAGGTCAGCATCCAATTTTAGTTGTTTGGTCTGATCCACCACTAATATTGAAGCTGAGAGCACGACTGCACTTCATGATTCTGCAGCCACTGCTGTCTAAGCTGGTGCCTCCATTGTTGCTGCTGCTGATGGGGTCTTGGCGACCAAACACCTTTCCCCAGCTTCAGCATCCCAGCTGTCCCATCCCTTCTCTCCTCGTTGTTCCTGATATCGGGGATCTGCATCGAGCCCTCAACATGTGCCTTTTGCTCCATTGGCTCAAAAGTGGCGGCTCTTGGCATGTCACTCTCGCTCCTCCTTCCCTGGAATGAACCACCATGTACCGAACTCCACCCATGCGAACCGTGGCAATCAGAACCACACCCACACATCGCCTTGACTTGAAAATTACGGGAGCACCAGGTTGTAACAGGAGCTGTACCTTCGCCTGGGTCTTCTGATAATCCTGAGACTCCTGATACTCCTGACACCCCTGATACTGCTGAAACTCCTGAAACTCCTGAGACTGCTGAGACTCCTGATACTCCCGAGTCTCCTGAGACTTCTGCGCCTGCTGCCTGTGGTGCATGTTCG